GGTGTGCCCTTGCCTGCCGGCGCGCTTGGGACCCTTGGTATCGGGGGCTGGGCGCTTGGGCGTGTGTCGGCTCGTCCTGGTGTCTGCCTGGTGGGGCTCGGGTCCTCTGGCCCTGTCGGGCCTTGGCCTGGATGGTGTGAGTCCTCGGTGCCCGGGCCTCGGTGCCTGGACCTGGACCTACATCGGTGCGGCGGGTGCCGACGGAGGCCTATGAGTTTGTCGCTGTTGGCCCCGGGGGGTCACTTTATGTGGTTGCTGGTAGGGATCTTCCGGTTCTCCCCTGTGGTCTGTTCTGGGGGGTGGGTGAGTGGTTCGTCCTGTGTGGGTGGCTCTGGGGGCTCCGCGGTCGGGGTCCCTCCTGGGGTCTTGGGCTCTGGTCCCCCCTTTTTCGTCTGCCTCTGGTCTTGGGGGTCGGGTCTCTGCTGCTTCACAGTTACTAATAAATGTTCTATTAGAGAAGCCTTATACACTTATGCATGCTCACAACCACACACAAATAGAAGCAGGGATGCTTATGTAGGCTTTATATGTAGATATATAGATATGTATGTGAGTGTATATTCATGTGTATGTATGTATATAGGCGTAGGTATGGGTATATATATTTATGGAAACTTACTGCAAAGCCATGAATATTTTAAGTTCTTTATACATATGTATTTTGTTGCTGTGTTTTGTCATGTTCTTTGCAGGTGAACAGACAGTAGCCGGGTGTTTTGACGTGTGCTCTCTTTGTGTATATTTCTTATATTTTGGAGTCTTACTTTGTCTTTTCTTTCTTTCTATCCTATTAAAAAAAAAAAAAAAAACCTACACTAGATAGTCACTATAATAAATATTTCATAATAATGGTGTGGAGAGGATGGCTGTAAGGGGAGAAGGGAGGCCATCACAAAAAAAAAACAAAAAAAACTCACTGTGGAGAAAGTGTGCGTGATATAGGCCTGCGCCTCTGTACACCTTTTTAAAAAAACACTTCATCAGTGGATGCTTAAGAACTGTTCTGTCCCCGAAACCTTTGTGAAGAGATGAAGAAGATGAGATGGCTGCAGCGTACGTTTAATTGTGCTGAATGCCATATTTCTGTCCATCAGCTGCTGCAGAAAGGACAGCACGCCACCTAGTGGACATGAGGTGGCCTCTACACCTTTCTCCGTACACCAGTGCTGAAAAGCTGTCCCCTTTGATGTGTACAGCGCTGTGGTGGAGGCAGCACGTGAAAACCTGGATTGTGCGCACCACATCTTGAGAGAGACCCATCCTCTCTAAAACGGATCCGCTCAGCGGCCAAACCCAAAGGTGCTGGCCTATTTCTGGGTAACTCCTGATCGCTCCTCCCACCTGGAGGAGAGCATCCTCCCTCCATGGCAGTTTCTACTGGCGCCCCAATAACAGGCGTCATAGAATTGGGAATCACGGGGCGTTCACGTGCTCAGGAGCCACCAGGAGGTCTGTCAGTCCCTCCTCCCTAACTCAGTTCAGAAACTGTGATATCAGAGGGAGTGGGGAAATTCGTAAAGAAGCATTTTGTGCCATGGGCTGTGAGCAAACGCATCCATCCCTAGCGATGGTTTGTCCCGCGGGCTCAGTGAGAACCATAGATGACACTGAGCGTTCTCTCGTGTATCAAACAAGTCCATGGCCACTCTGCCAAATTTCTGCCATGTCTGAGTCATCAGCTTGGGATAGAGGCTCCAATCCCCGTGACGCGGACCGCCCCTGGACATCACATCCGCCCTTCTGTTCAGAACACCGGGGATGTACACTGCTCTGATGGAGAGCAGATTTTGGTGTGCAACACTCCAAAACATTTATATGAGCTGCTGTGTGGGGTGGTCACAGTGACCCCACAGCTCGAGACATGCATGTGCCTCCCCAGCCTGACAGGGACGCATCTGTGAAGACTGACACGTGTGACCTAGATCTGCTGATGGGGACTCCCTCTGACAGAACAAGAGGGTTTCCCAGTTTCTCAGGTCGATTCTCACGGAGGGGGGCACAGCGATAAACTGTCTCTTCTGCCTCACCGGGTCCACACGTAAACGAGCAAACCACCTCTGGAGGCATTGTACCGTGTGAGCAGATGACATGTCCTTAATAACTTCAAGATGGAAACAGCTCTTATCACTCTGCCGGCTGAAGCCCAGATTTTGCAGGTGTGATGTGAGCGCCTGAATTGCACTGCTGCCACCTGTCTGGAAAACGGGTCAGCAGTAACAGATCGTCCAGATAAAACAGAATTCTCATCCCTGCTCTGTGTAACGGCTGCAGAGCCGGCTCGACCCATTTTGAATGAAATGTTGTCTCACAGTTGAAAATTGACAAATCTAAGATGGGTCTCATCCGTCCGGTCCGTTTTGGGATCAAGAAGTGACGAGAGTAGAACCCTGTGTTTTCCTCTCCTTCTGGAACCCTGGAATTTTTTTTTTTTTTTTTATCAGAATTTCTTGAACTTCTGCGTGGAGAAACGAGATCTGTTCTGGAGATGACAGAAACGTTTCTAAAGTTCCTTCAAACGGGGGGTTTGAGCTGTAACTGCAGCGTGTATCCCCTGCTGATAAGACGGTTCATCCATCTGTCTAGAGTGCCTCTGTGCCATGCTCAGGCTGCGGGCTCACATCCGTGCTGATGTGAGGTGGTGTACACTGAGGGGAGGCGCGTGCGCCCCGAGCATGCAGAGCCGTGTAGTTGAGGGCTGCCGCTGCAGCGGGGGCGTGGCGCTTCTGTGCCACGCTCAGGCTGCGGGCTCATATCCGTGCTGAGACGCGCGTGCCCATGGGCATGCGGAGCCATGTAAGTGAGGGCTGCCGGTGGGGGGGGGCGCGTTTGTCACGCTGCGGTCAAAGGAGGCAGCGCATAGCTTGGGCTGAAAGCGAGGTTTCCCACTGGACTCGGTCTGCTAAAAACATTCACTTTGGCTGCTGTGTCACTCACGCGCCCATTTTGTGTGTTTTTCTCAGGCTGCGGTGATTAAAAACCTGTTTGGAGGACACCGGCTCGCTTTGTTTGGAGGATGTGTGAGGAGAAGCCGCTGTGAGATCATACGAACTGACAGTCAGGCAGAAATCAGACATTTAATTCCAGAATGATGTTTACGTTTTTTTCCAAAACTCAAACCATCATTATGCACACACACATCCTCCGCAATGAATCATTTTGAATCTTCTTTGGGGAAACGCAGCACCGCTGGTTGTCGGGATGAGGAGGGCTGTACTCTGACTGGAGGGGCTGGCAGCGGAGCGGAGCGAGAAGATGCTGCTGCAGCTGTGGCGTGTCTCTGCTGTCTCTAGCCATGGCACTCTCTCCAGCGGGCGGGGGGGTGAGAGGATGGGTGCGGCTTGATCAGATGGCGCACAGTCTCGATACCTCCTCCGACTTCTTTGATTTCTTGAGCATGGCCTTGAAATTGGCTCTGAACAGCGCGTCCATCGTGATGGGGCCTTCCAGCGAGTCCATCTGCAGCTTCTCCGACAGGGAAGGGGAGTGACGAAGCCAGGTGGATCTCTGAACCATTGTCATCCAGGCTGCGATGTGAGACAGGCAAACAGCAGATGAGGCGCACAGGTTGACGGTGACGTCAGACGCCTTGCAGAGGGAGCTCTTAGTCTCCTGAGGCAGGTCTGAATGCATACTGGTGAGCTCGGTTGGAGAGTGACATCACCGTCTGGTCATGCTTCCCCGGAGGCGCAGGATGCTGGTCCAACCTGGACATCTTGCTCCGAGAGCCTCCGCCAGGCTTGGCTCCAGGGGGCACCGAGGGAAATTCTGCTCAGTAAAACCCCTCCACTCTGGTGATAGGCGCAAATGAGGAAACTGGCATTCTCAGTCTACCAGGTCTGGCTGCAGCCTCGTTCCAATAGGACGTCACTGCTGGGAAACGAGACCAGTTGGGATCAGGATGGCGAGCCGGGGTGGAGCCTAAAACCTTCCTGCTAGATCATCCGATCTGGGCGGGGGGAGGAGAGGGACGGAAAAAATTCCCTTCATGTCAGCCGCCTCCTGGATTATGCCAGGCAGCTCCGAGAGGAGGGCACCGACAGCTGGGAGCAGTGTGATTGCCGATGCAAAAAGGCCGGGGGGGGGGGGGGGGGGTGAGCATCCACTCAGCCCCCCTGGTTCCGACACTACACTCTCCAGGAGGGAGTGAGCAGCGGGGGCTGCTGCTGACGTCGCCTGTCCCGGAGGAACCATCCGATTCGCTCCGAGAGTCAGTGTTAAAAAGAAAAAAGGGTCGATGGCGTCGTCCAGCGGGTAGCGACCCACCACTGAAAATATATTCCTCGGCGCTTACCTTGAAACAAGGCTGCTCGTCTGCTTCTTCTCGGGGAGGAAGAACTCATCGGGACGGCAGGAGGTTGGCGTGGTGGGGACCCAGGCAGCCTTAACAAAGGTGGTGCCTCAAGCTGGACAACTTTCCTTCTTCGTTCTTCTGACAGTGCTATTACCTTGCTGAAGAAAAAATGGGAGCCAATTACCTGCTCTTAACGTAATTTATACGGACCGGGTGGGGCCCACACAACAGGTGGGCGTGGACTAAATTTTTCAGTGCGATACTTTGCATGACGGGATAAACCCACCAGCAACAGCCTTAAAGGGCGAAGCCTATACGAAATAGAACTTGTTTTTCATGTTGATTCATCACATTAAACACTGAAGAAACAAGAACATTTCCAGAGATTATTTTCACGTAAACAGCGAATAAAGTAGTTATTTTATAATAATTATGTACGCAATAACAAATCAGTTATCCCAGGTTAGTTAAAAAATGTCAACTGAAATCAGTTCAGACACTGCAACCTAACAGTCCCATCAATTTGCGTTCATTTTTCTCTCATCTATAGACACAACATCCAGTTTAGTTTGTCTTCTTCCACATTTTTGTCTGTTTTCAAACATTTTTCTATTTCAATCACTGTTTGCGTGCACACTGGAGATTGAACTATCTTAAAAGTGCTCAAATTAAACAAAATAACAAATAAAATGTGTTAACTTTGGTTTAGATGGTCGACCTGGGCCTGCTGCTTCATCCTGGATCCTACTTCAGAGATTTGTGGAACATTCTGGACTTTATAGTGGTCAGTGGGGCTCTGGTGGCATTTGCATTTACGTAAGTTAAAAAACTCTCACCTTTTTGACATAACACAAGTAATCTGCTGTTTGATTTGGTCATTTGATCTGTTGTGTAGACAGGAAATACAACATTTAGCAGCAAGTTTACAGGTGCAAGAACAATGTAACTTAGAACTTTGGTTCTCCCCGTTGTCCACCAGAAGGAACCATGAGTTAATAAAGGTGCAGCCTAAAACACATTGAAATTAAAGCTCTCTGTGAAACCTGGTCACTCTGCTAACCTGGGGTATAACTACATGCTTAACTGCAAACTACCCATATGTCACATACAGTATTCATGGCATTTCACTGTGAAGCCAGTCAGATTGAAGGGCTGGATTTAAACGTGGATGCTTTGATACAATTCTTGTCACTTTAAAAACAGTGGAATTGTACAAAATTATCAGTCAAGTCAAGTCAAATGTATTTATAAAGCACATTTAAAAACAGTAGCTGTTACCAAAGGGCTTAACAATAAAATCAAGGCAGTAATTAAAGAAAAAAAAAAGTATTAAATGCATTTAAAAAAAAACGTAACACACAGAACAATAAAATACTAAATCAAATCACACTGTGTTAAAAACCAGAGAAAACAGGTGTGCTTTTAAAAGAGGTTTAAAAACAAGAAGGGAAGGGGCCTGTCTAATGTTGGGGGGTAGATTGTTTCAGAGTTTAGGGCCCATGACTGAAAAAGCCCGATCTCCTCTGAGCTTCAACCTGGTTTTTGGTACAACCAAAAGCAGCTGGTCAGATGATCCCAGCACCCGAGAAGGAACATAAGGTTGAAGAAGGTCAGAGAGGTATGAGGGTGCAAGGCCATTAAAGGTTAGCAGGACAATTTTAAAATCTATTCTGATCTGGGAGTCCTCCTTCACAGGGAGCCAGTGAAGGAAGGACAAAACTGGTGAAATGTGCTCAAACCTACGAGTTCCTGTTAACAGCCGAGCTTCAGCATTTTGGACAAGCTGGAGAAATGAAAGGGAGACCTGACTGACCCCAACATAAAGCTCATTGCAGTAGTCCAGTCAGGTTGTAACAAATGCATGGACTAGTTTTTCAAGGTCAGATCTGGTCAACACGGACTTAAGCTTACCTATCTGCCTTAACTGGAAGAAGATTTTATGCAGAACAGATTTAATCTGTTTGTTAAATTTAAAGTCAGAGTCTAAAACCTTCCTGAGATTTCTAAAAAAGTTCAATCTGGTCCTCTGGACATTCAAAACAACAACAACAACAACAAAAAACAAAGCAAAAATTTTTTAGCTACGTTTCGTCTTTCATCCGAAAGACTTCCTCAGTCTGAGGTGCTGTATTCAGCTTAGTCTCTTAAATAGCACCTTCTCAGAGTGGATCAACCAGTTTGCTGCTGACAACCAAAACCAGCTGCTCACATGGTCAAGAAGGCCCATCAGCCTAACAATGGATCATTAGCACACTGATGGCTGTTTACTATTCACAGGGGGTTGAGTGATACTAGTAATAACAGCAATGTAAGAGGGGGACAGTTGAACCCAGAGGCCTCCCCCCCATTTAATGATGGACAATTTCTTTTCACAAAGATGGCCTCCTTTACTCCTCTCTCAAACCATTGTTCCTCTCTGTCCAGGATGTGAACATCTTTATCCCTGAAAGAGTGACCGCTGGCCTGGAGATGAGTGTAGACCGCAGAATCCTGGCCAGATGTTGTTGATCTTCTGTGCTGGGCCATCCTTTTGGCCAGTGGCTGTTTAGTTTCCCCGATGTAAGACTGATCACAGCCCTCCTGACACTGAACAGCATACACAATATTACTCTGTGCCGGGGGACTGGATCTTTGGGATGAACCAGTCTTTGCCGAAATGTATTTTGTGGTTTAAAAGCCACTAACACCATTATGTTTAGAAAATAAACATCTCAGTTTCTCTGATACTCCCTCAACATACGGAATGACCACTGGTCTGGGTCTGGGTTCCTCCTTTTCACCTGATGGCTGACTGGAGTCCTGTTTGGGTTTCTTCACTGCTTTCAGGAAGGCCCAGTTAGGATATCCACATTGCTCTAGAGCCTATCTTGTGTGAAAAAAAATCTAAAAAAGTTCAATGTGGTCCTCTGGACATTCAAAAAAAAAACAAAGCAAAAAAATGTAGATACGTTTCGTCTTTCATCCGAAAGACTTCCTCAGTTTTTTTTGTTTTTTTTTAATGTCCAGAGGACCAGATTGAACTTTTTTAGATTTTTCTACCTGGATTATTAAGCATGCATCAGGATATTTTGAACCACTTTGGCCAGGATTGCCTCAAACTAGTTAGAGAGTTTGAGAAAACAGCAAGGAAGAGGACATACTACAGGAACCACTTGCGATTCAACCTCAGATGTCGACAAAGTGGCATCATTCCCAAGAGCTGGAACTAAAATCGTCGGTCAGCGGGCACCGGGCAAGCAAGATCCTTCAGAAGGCACAGACCCAGCTGCTGAATGAATGGGTGAAACAGACCAATTTTACTATTGAGGCCTTGAAGCTCAAAGAAGAGCACATTAAACAAAAACTAACAACGTGTCTAGATCAGACCACACTTCAGCAAGTGTTGGACTGTACAGATCAGGCACGCTTAGCACAGCATATCAAGTCCAAGACTCAACAACAAAACAAGTTTAACTTACTAATAACTCATCAACACCATCACAATGCCAATAACAACACATTCAGTGTAGGACAACCCTCCAGTAGTCAATTACATGCCAGGGAGACAGAAAAGTGGGTGAAGAAGTTATCTGACAGAGAGCTCACCCAGCCGGAGACAGAGATTCTTGCCAGGGGACTGAACTTTGCAGTTGCACCAAGTAGACTTCCTCTGGTGGAGATGATCACAGCCACAGAATCAGCCATCCGCAACAACAAAATGAAAGAGGGTGAAGCAGAACAGCTCAGAATCAAAGTTTCAGCCGGCCTCAGCAATGCCAAACCACCACCTTCCAACATCACTAGAGAGGAGAGGGATGCACTCATCACTCTTAGCAAGGACAAAAACATCATCGTTTTCCCAGCAGACAAAGGAAGGTGCACAGTGATTTTGAACCAGAAAGACTATCATGAGAAAGTTGACACTCCTTAGTGACTTAACCACTTATGAACCTCTGAAAAGAGATCCAGGAAGTGGTTACAAGAAGAAGTTAATAGATTGCCTGAAAATTTGGAGCAGGACAAGGCTATTGCCCGTATTCGGTACCACAAACGGTACCCAGGAGAGGCCACACCTAGTCTGTATGGTTTACCTAAAATCCACAAACAAGGTGTACCTTTAAGACCAATTGTTAGCATGATTAACTCTGCCACTTACAATGTTTCCAAATATCTGGCGTCTGTACTTATCTCTTTAGTTGGCAGCTCAGAACACCATATACAGAACACCATAGACTTTGTGGATAAGGTGAGGGATGTCATCATGGAGACTGATGAAACAATGGTCTGTTTTGATGTCACATCACTCTTTATGTGCATTCCTGTTGATGATGCAGTAGAGGTGGTCAGTTTAAGATTAAAATCAGACACCACTCTGAGCAGCAGGACCATGCTTTCCACAGAACAGCTGTGTCAACTCTTGAAACTGTGCCTGCAGTCAACCTACTTCACATATGGGGAGCAATATTATAGGCAGAAACATGGGTGTGCTATGGGGTATCCAGTTTCTCCTATTGTTGCCAACCTACACATGGAGGAGGTAGAAAAGAGAGCCTTGACGTCCTTTTCAGGGACACCACCAAGTCATTGGTTCAGGTATGTTGATGACACCTGGGTTAAAATTAAATCTCAAGAAGTCCAACATTTTACTGACCACATCAACTCTGTGGATAAATACATCAAGTTCACATGAGAAGATGAAAAAAATGTCAGGTTGGCTTTCTTGGACTGTGAGGTCTCAGTCTCTGTTAGAGGACATTTGCAAACTGAGGTGTACCGCAAACCCACCCACACAGACCAGTATTTGCAGTTTGACTCCCATCACCCTTTGGAGCACAAGTTAGGAGTCATCAGGACTCAGTATCACAGAGCAGACAGTGTCCCCACTAACTCAGGAGCCAGGCAGAAGGAGAAATCCCACACAAGACAGGCTCTAGAGCAATGTGGATATCCTAACTGGGCCTTCCTGAAAGCAGAAAAGAAACCCAAACAGGACTCCAGTCAGCCATCAGGTTAAAAGGAGGAACCCAGACCTAGACCAGTGGTCATTCCGTATGTTGAGGGAGTATCAGAGAAACTGAAATGTTTATTTTCTAAACATAACATCCCAGTGGCTTTTAAACCCCAAAATACATTACGGCAAAGACTTGTTCATCCCAAAGATCCAATCCCCCGGCACAAACAGAGTAATATTGTGTATGCTGTTCAGTGTCAGGATCAGTCAGGATCCATTGTTAGGCTGATGGTCCTGATCAGTCTTACATCGGGGAAACTAAACAGCCACTGGCCAAAAGGATGGCCCAGCACAGAAGACCAACATCATCAGGCCAGGATACTTTTGACATCAGTATATCCCACATGATGACTAATGGCACAAAATGAGCCATTGTTATATGTAAGCTCACACTGTGACCCCTATCAAATTCCATCAAGTGCTGCTCATGCTATCTAATGTATCTACGAGTTATTTTCTGTTTTGACTAGTGGATACTCCATTAACAGCCAAATAACATTATTGCTGTTCTCGTGATTCCACCACTTATTCCCTCTGGCTCCTGTTCTTGATGTTATAGCTCCTTGTAAACTGAATAATTAATGCACTCAACACTGGTATTCATATGTGCCAAATGATGTCCAAATTGTATCATTATTTTCAATTTGGTGCTCATCATTTTACAGAGAAACATTGTTCTCAAGCCAGCACTGAAGACAGTTTAATGTAGGTGAGAGGTGTGTGGCCATGGTTCAGTCTTACCTCCCTCTCTGCTGGGCCTATGATGCAGTTGCAAAAGAAAAATGTTTCTAAGCACTGCAATAAAATGGAAGAAAAAAGAACCAATAACATGATGCAAAGGCCAAGGAAAAGTTCAGACCTGAACCTTTCTGATAGTCTATTTCAGGGGTTTCCAACTCTGGCCATCGAGGAACATTATCCTGCATTCCACAAAGTTAAGTCAGGTCCTCTGGATGGTTTCTTTTTGTTGAAACGTTTCACCTTTCATCCAAAAGACTGGTGAAGTCTTTTGGATGATGATAGTCCACCCTCATCGGCAGGGGAGAGAGCAGACTCCAGAAACCATCTGAACACCATCAAACTGGTTGACCTACTATGTTAGGTGCTATTTATAAGACTGAGTTTGTTGTGGCTCTTCGGACTGATTAAGTCTTTTGGATAAAAGATGAAATGTTTCAACTAAAAGAAAGCGTTCAGAGGACCTGACTTAACTTTGTTGGATTATTTTACCTGGATCACTGAGCATGAATGAGCACACTGCTCTGCATGTTTCAGTTATTTCCCTGCCCCCACACACTTGATTCAGTGATTTAATTACTTATTTAAGTTCTGCAGAAGCCTGTTAATCACCCATTCATTCAGATCAGGTGTGTTGGAACAGATAAACATCTAAAGCATGCAGGATGGTGTTCCTCAAGTACCATGGTTGGGAACTACTGAGAGTTGGACTGTTGGATTTAAATATATTTCTATAAATCTCAGTTATTGTAGCAAAGTTTAAAGAGTGAGCCTTTATTCCTCCAGAACATGGAAGATCTTCAGTTACTTCAAGCTATTCAATTATGAAATGCTCTTAAGTTTTCTAATTTGCCATTAAAGACGAGTAAGGATACTTTAAACAGGCCATGTTTTGCCTGTTGTTGTTTGGACAAAGTAATATCTTCTAAACGATAGAAGATTCAGAAGCTTAAGGAAGGGGGTAAAATAATCCAGTTTTCTTGCACGTCTTCTTATTGCTGCTAAAAATAAGTGATTAATAAAAACTGTTGGATCACTCAATGCGTAATAATATGTTACATCATGCTCAGATATTCACTGTACATGTACTACAGTATATACCTTGTTTTTAAAGCCAGTGATGACTAAATACTTTTATGAAATTACATTTTAGTTGAACAAAAGGGTGTAACAGTCTTACCAAGACTTTTAACTATGATGGAGCTTGAGAGCCACACTAAGGAAAACAAAAAACAAAAACAACATTGCCATGCTAAGAAAAAAAAAATTAAAAGCCATAAAATTACGAGAAAAAAGTCTTACTATTACGAGAATAAAGTCTTAATATTTCAAGAATAAAGTTGTACAAGACTTTTTTTAACAGCTTTTATTTTTTTATTTTTATTTTTTCCACGAGTGGGATCCACAATGCAACTTGTCAATCAGTCCAGTAGGCGTGTCAGCAAATGACCGATCCAAAACTAAATGAGCTGTAATATTATCCAAACTCCGACACAATAAAGCAGGGTTTACCAAATTTTAACTGTAGTACCTGTACAATGAAGAATGTTGAGCATCTTGTTAAGTTATACTTTGGTATTGGTTTTACAAATAAGGAAACAGCTAATCTGTCAGCATATCAGCATCATATTATTATCAGTATCAGGATGTTGAACCTGCTTACAGTAAGGTGGTACGCTCTGATGGGCTGCAGCAGCTCTCTGCAGGTAAGGAGCATTTAGCTTTGGATTGGTCATTTGCTGACACGCCTACTGGATTGATTGACAGGTCGCGTTGTGGATCCGACTCATGGGAGAAAAAATGAATAAATGAGAGCTGTAAAAAAAAAGAAGTCTCGTACGACTTTATTCTCCTATTATTAAGACTTTATTCTCGTAATACTACTTTATTCTCATAATTTTATGGCTTTTATTTTATTTTTTTCTTTGCGTGGCCCTAAAGCTCCATCGTATTTAACAGATGTTGATGACTATATGTTTATTATTTAATGGATGAAGCCCTCATAATGTTCTGGTCACAGCTTTTATTTGACTGCTAATTAACACAACCATTAACAGCTGAGAACATTTAAGGATTGTTTCACACATGAATGTGAATGTCAGCCGACACTAGCTAGAAATTTGCTGCTGAATATAAAGCAGAATTAATCCTGAAGAAGTGAGAGCCTTGTAAGTGCTCCATTGGTGCTTCAATGTATATTTTTGATCTCTGTCTCTTCCTGTTTCTGTTCTTTGATCTCTGTGAAGGAGCTTCATGGGGTAATGTCTTCTCTACCTCTCTCACTGTGCTTGTCTTTGTCATTTTCTTCATGTATGTGAAAAAGAATACATACATGGCTTGCACTGCAAAACCAAGTCATTTCCTCACATGTTCGAACTCACAAGTGCCACAAATCTGCACCAACGTTTATCACTTTCCTTCTTTATTTGTGTTTGGTCAAGTTTACAAATGTATTTTTTGCATAGTCTTTCTAATTTAGAGGCAAACAACTAAATAACTAAAAGATTGTCTGCCTATAAAAATATTTGTAATAGCCTGAATGTTGATTGTTTTATGATCCGTACTAGTAGTCTTGCCTATAAACTCCACAAACATCTAGATTTCAAAAAATGTCCACCACAAGTCCTGACATCATTTCATAACAGAATTTATCCACCTTATTCCCAGCCCCCATAGTACCTTGTATGAATTATGGGCGCAACGGCGCAGACCAGAACCGGCGTTTATTCATGTGCGAACAGTACAAGCTAATGTAGTTTCTCTGAGCATTGTGGATTTAATTTAAACATGTAGGAACACCACCTATCAGAGCTCAAATAGGACAATATAATCATACCACTGAGGACGAGGGATGGAGAATGAGCTGAAGAAGTGGCTACTAGCATACTTAGCATATTTATTAGCATATTTAGCTACATCTACTAGCATATTTAGCTACATCTACTAGCATATTTAGTTACTTCGTTGACTCAGTTATTCTGACAGTGAAGTGATGAACAACCTGAAATGCTCTGACGTGTATCAGTATCTACACAGTAATAAGGTTGGTGGTGTTTTGTTAAAAGAGGTGGGACACAATCTTATTGACCTTAAATCAGACACAGAGCCCAGTCAAACCTTAAAGTCCTCCATGACTGCGCTTTGATTAATTACAGAGAAAATCATAAAACTAAAGACGACCAAATACTATAAAGCTGTGACCTCCATACACTTGAAACCATCCCTGATACTATCGTCACTGTTTTCAATCCTTCTGAGGATCCACCGTCTCTTCTCCGGTGGTTTATTATTGTCCAGACACAAAGTAGGATGCAGGTTTTCCTCCGATGGCCGTTTGTCAACAAAGTGAAATGAGCACACAGTTTTGGGTGGTCTCTTCAAGTTCACATTTTTCAGCCACATTCTTCTTAATTCCTCATCTGTAGGTAGGAGATGTAAACTCCAGTTCTTTTCACAGGAACTCTTCTTGTTTTGGGTCCATGTTAAAAACTCTGTTGTTGTAGCCACGGATTTAGTTTGGTCTGGTTGTTCCTGCAGCTGTGAACACAACAGGTATCTGAACTCAGCACGGCTATTTTAGTAAACTTTATGGTTGTTAAATAAATGTCAACAAAACAAAACCAACATTTTATCTGCTAAACTGAATGCAAATTACTTTCAAATAAACTGTGGTCTGTGCTCCACTACCATGGTTAACCAATTCCTACTGCTACTTCCTGTCTGACATGAAGTTGTTCATTTAAACAGTACATCCCTCAGAAATAATGTGGATAAATAAATAAAATTAAAAAAACAACATAAAATTACTTTGTGGCCCATCTGAAACTAACAGTCATTGTTTTTAATTTTGGATTGGGCACTTGGAGTAGTTTTTGTCCCCCATCGTGGAGTGAGAAGGAGGAACTGAAAATATGCTCCATCCATTCGTGCATGTAGTGAGCATGATAATTTGAAAAACTAGTGACTGACTTTCATGTTGGTTTGTGGCTTTGTCTGGGCATAAGAAACGTTCCTATCAAAAAGTGGGCTGCCATGTCAAAATCCAAGTTGGCCACCACCATATAATATACAGTAGTCCCTCGCTACTTCACAGTTCATTTTTTGCGGATTCGCATTATCGCGGTTTTTCAAAATACGATTGGACTTGACGATTGGCTGATTGATGGATGAGCCACGGACTGTTTATTTAAAATAATTATTTTAAATTATTTTGCACCATGTGTGCAGCCCACAAGTGCAGGGGAAGCTCCCTCCTGCAGCTGATCAGCTGATCTTCTTCTCTGACACGCACACATTTCTTCTGCTGCATCTTTGTGAAGGGTTAACCCTTTGCTGTCCAGATGCACCGATTGACTTTTGTCTTCCAACTTAAAATTCAAAGTATGCCACATTGTAAAATATAATCACAAAATATAAAAGTGTTAACGCTATTTTTTTAAATTATTTTAGAATTTCTATGTTCAATTGTTTCAGTGTAATTGATCAAGAAGTACATTTCTGCTCTGTGCTGCAGCGCTGCATGAAGGGTTAACCTTTGATGTCCTGCTGCACTTCTCTTCTCTACAATTTAAATTTAAACACTGTAACATTTTAATTAAACAACCCATGCTGCATGAATTGTTTAATAAAAATGTTACAGTATTTAAATTGTTTATTTAAGGAGGGAGATTGGGAATAACAGGTGATGAGTGTGATTGCAGCCTGGCACGTCATGACAAAGTTTACTGAACTGGAACTGAACTTGGACTAGTCTGTCTACTTCGCTATTTTTCACTTATCGCGGGGGGGGGGGGGGGGGGGGACAGGATACAGAACATCCGCAATAATCGAGGGACTACTGTAAATGCAAACCAAATGATTTGAGAAAACTATGCATTCTAGTTTTTATTTTGCTCCAAAGTATTTATTTATTTATTTTGGCTGCTCCCTTCTTAAGGGGTCGCCACAGTGAACTAACTCGCACAAAGACTTGGCACCTGTTTTTACTCCTGAGGCCCTTCCTGACGTAACCACAGACAACAGGCCTACCACAGCTCTCTGTGTGGAGCAGAGAGCTGCCATCTAGGGTAGGGAGAGCAGAAGAAGGAGTTAAGGACCTTGTCAAGGGCACAGAGTGGGGAAATGAGGGTGGAGGCAGGTGTGGATGCATTTTGATTTTGCCGGTCTGAGGGGTGAGACCGGAGACTTTATGATCACAGGCTTGCCTTCTCTGACCTCTGTGCCACCACTCCCCAATATTGCTTAAAAGTATAGTTTCCTCAAATGACTGGGGTGGCCTCAGATTAATCTTATGTGGTCAAGGCCACCATTGGCCACCCCCTGGCTCCTCTGTTGCACCTAGTGTTGGATAAAATGCTCCCTCCACTCACAAGGATCCATCACTCTGTGCTGCCTTGGACAAGAAAAAAAGCAAACCTACCTCTGTTCTTCTCCACAGTGTAAATTATACCCACTTGCACCAAGAATTTTAAGGTTTACTTGCATTCCCTGTTCAATTCCAGTCCAGAGAAACACTCGTCGTCTGAGATGTTTTTTCCTGTACTGGACCACATCTGGGATATGAAGTGAAATTGCTTGTAAGGATTGGCCCTTTTTGCAGTGTACTGTTGTGCCTGAGACACTCATCCTGTCGCTCATATGATCTGCTTGTAGACCTCATGTTGCTCAGACCCAAGCTTATTTCTCCTCACCATCCTTGCTACATTCATTAACATCATACTGTCATACTGTCATTCATTAACGTCCTCTAGACAGAGCTGTTCTCATCAGCATGTTGCTTTGCCACTGCTCTGTCTGTACTGGAATTACACCATCAATTTCATTTTCTTTATTATTAATTCATCAGAAGCTCACTAATGTAACAAACAACCACTGCTGAAGGGCATGAGTTGGTCTCAGAGGATTCAAAAAGCGTTCAATACAAAAACAACTGGACTTTATTTGTAACAGAAGACGTTTTGCTCCTCATCCGAGGAGCTTTCTCAATTCAAAGAGCAGAGTGTGAGAGATTCAGGTTATAAGGCTGACTGAGATAAGACACACACACATATGTAGATTGGCAATTCAGTCTCAGAGGATATCGATCTCCTCTGTGAACCTACATGCACATTAGGCAGACTGTGGGACACGTGGGTTCTGGACTATGTATGTTAGTAGCAGGACCGTATAGTTGCATAACGTCCATGTCCACACAGTTTGTCCAACTCTGCCCTGTCACACAGCAACATACTGTAGACCAGGATACTGTACATGTAGCTTGGTTTCATGCATGTGTCAAACAATATTTGTGAATACTTGAAATGTTAGTGAATTTTCTTTACAATGCATTTTAGTCATAGATGCAAAAAAATGCATAAACTCAGTGTTGCAATTTAAAGTAAATCAGAATTAAAACAATTTTGCTGCAAACTGAAACAGAAAATGTGCACATTAAAATTATATATATATATATATATATATATATATATATATATATATGTACTTTGAAATTGAACTCATTTGAAAAAGATTTGAGATGTGTCAAAAATGCTACATAAAATAAAGAGGTGGCATAAAATTAAAGTAGCATTGATCCAGATTGCCTTTATGTTTGCATGAAAATAAAATTAAAAAAAGGAGCAAACACTGGAGTTCCTTGAATGACCATGTTAGGCAAACTCCAAGAATTAAAGATAATGTTTCTGTGTCACAGGTACAGATACTGATTCTAGTTTGGGTTGGTGTCTTCTTTGCTATGAGTAGCTTAATTATTGTGTTTTGCTGCTCTCCTCGTCTCCAGATTTACGGTTTTACATTTCCTTCCAGTCTGGGGTTATCCAAAATGGAAAAAAGATGAATAAATTGGGATTTAATAGTTTGCTAATGAGAGCAAAAACAGCCACATTTGAAAAAAAAGTAGAGAAGTACACAATAAAACAGTGAGTCATATGATTTATCCATCTCCAATACAACACAAACATCTGTGTCCATCGTCAAAGGACACTTTCAGTCTTCATGGGTTAAAGTAATCAGACTTTGCAAGCAAACAGCCCTTATTTAAATCAAGAATTGATCAGTTGGTGGATCAACAGGCTTTCTGCAATCATTGGAAATGGCTTCAGATCTTCAGGGTAGCGCATACATGTTCAGGATTCTCCCATAGGTGGTCTCCGTCACTGACCAATTGAAAGGGTGTAACACTGACCAGGGCAGATGTGTTATGAATGACCTTTTTCACTGGCTGGAGCACTCCTCGGTTGAGGGTTAAGCCCAGTCGACA